GCCGCCACTCGACAACTTTGCCCACTGGCTTCTTGACCACCCGGCCAGCCGTCATTCGTGATGATTTTGGGGGCTTCGCCGGCAAGGCGCCGCAGCGGGCATTGGCGCACTCTTTCCTGGTGGTTGCCATTGCTTCACCTCATCGGCCTGCGAGAATCAAAGCACGAGCCGTGCTACCAGTGGAGCACGACATGGAGAAGGCATCGCGGCTTTGCACGCCCCCAGCATTCCCCTGACAGCAGCGCCCCACGGCGTGGGCTGCGAGGTCACTCGGGGTGACCCAGGGGGCGGCGGGGGAGCACTCTCCCGCCGGAGTAGCGGGCGGTCTTCCCGCTACTCGCTCGTAGCCCACCACCTTCCCGACAGCTCCACCCGCTCGGTGACGTCCTCATCTTCTCCCCCCCTGCCCCGCCCCCCTTTCAGGCAAGGCCCTGGCCACCAAAATCACGCTCTGCGCTCCGGGAACGGGCAGCAGCGCGACGCAGTTCGAGAGCGAGCGGCGGCGGCGGCTTAGCACCAACCATGTCAGTGCAGGGGCTGGCTGCGTGGGCCCCCGCCACCAGACTCCGTCGGGCTCGCGTCTCCCTGCCCGCTGAGGGGAGCGCAGTCTGTGTGTCTATGTCTGTGTCTGTGTCTGTGTCCCTGTCGGCTCGTGTGTGTCGTGTGTGACTCTCGCAAGCTCGCCTCCCGTCGTCCATCGACTGAGTGCGAGCCATGCAGCGTGATCGCAGTGCCGCTCGCAACGTCAGGGGTCGTCCGAGGATTTCTCTAGGGCCCCCGCAAGCTAATAGAAATCGGATCGGGCGACTGGCGCCCGTTCGAATGGCGATGAGTTCTCCGGTGGACCATCAATAGTTACCGAGATATGGCCGCTCAAAGTCTGAGACCTGTCACAAAAGTGATGCACGTATTGGGAGCGCTGTGAGGTCTGAGCACTGTGGCCATGGCCCCACTCCCGCGGAGTTCCCCACGACCCCCCAGAGCGCGATCAAGCCCGCGCCTGCTGCCACTCCCGGATCATCCGGCGCAGCGTGTGGTTGGGGGCGAGGAAGCTGTGCACGAGCGCCTCGCCCGTCATCGGGCTAGTCGACTTGGTCGCGAGCCAGCGCTCGATTGCCGACCGCTCGTACGAATGCCCGTCCGCCGCCATCACCGGGTCACTCATGAGCTCGGTCGTGATCGGGCAGATGAAGTCGGCCGGCGGCTCCTCCTCCCTCGGAGCCGGCGCCTCTGCGGCCGATGACGGCCCTTGCGCCTCCGCCGCCCGCCTCTCCTCCCCCAGCCTCGCGCTCTCCTCGAGCGCCGCCGCCAGCTCCGCCTCCTCTGCCGCCGCCACCGCCGCCTCCTCCGCCTCCTCTGCCGGCGCCTCGGGCTCTTGCGACGGCCCAGCGCCGCCCCCGCCGCCCTTCTTCTTGCCCTTCTTCTTGGCCTTCTTCTTCTCCTCGGGGCACTTCCCCGCCTCCTCCTCCGCCAGCAGCGCCGCCGCAGCCTCCTCGGCCGCCCTCTCGGCCTCCACCCTCTCTGCCGCCGCCCTCTCGGCCACTGCCCTCTCCACCCTCGCCTCAATCTCCGCTCTCTTCGCCTCCCTCGCCGCCGCCACAAGTGCGCGCTCGCACTCGGTGTGGCCCTCCTCCTTGGCCAGCTGCAGCGCCGTCTCGCCGCTCGCAGTGCGCGCCGCTGTGTCTGCGCCCGCCCGCAGCACCTGCAGGGTGCCTCCAGCCTGGGCGGCCCCAAGCCACCACGCCCGGAGGATTGCCTGCAGAATGGGCGGCAGCGTGTCCCTGCCCATGGCTCTCGCAAAGTACGGCGAGACGACGTCGACCATGCTCGCGTCGCCGAGCATGTTCTCTCGCAAATCCGCGGCGCTCGTCCCTTCACCAACCAAAGCCTCGGCGACAACAGCCAGCTGACCGTCTCCAAATGCTATGACAAGGGACTTCCCGCCCCGCTTTACCACGAGGAGCTCGACGATGCGCGCGACCTCCGCCCCCGCGGCCACCCCGCCGTCCCCGGACGGCGAAACCTCTGCCAGAACCATGCCGGAAGAGCCGCCCGCCTCTCCTGGCGACGGCGTGGCCCTGAGCGGCGCTGCTGCTGCCCTGAGCGCAGCCCGCACGTCGCGGTATGGATGTGGCAGGATCGTCCCGGATGCTCTACAGAGAGGCTGATGCCGGTACGACAGAAGCAAGACAGGCCGTGTGGGGTGTGGGTGTCACGAGGACAGACGTCCACCAAGACGGTGGACGGACGCAAACTCCTTATCCGATTCACACTCACGGCTGTCCTACCTACTGGACCTCTCCGGATTGGTTGAGCCCCGGCATCGATGGCGGGAAGAGGGAGGCTCCCCGCCCCTATCCCCCAGTTCAATCCCCGAGAGGAGAGGCAGAGCCTCTGGCGCGGTGAGAGCACCCGTACGCTCTCAAGGCCGACCCCCCCCCCTCTCCAGTTCAGATCACGACCCCCTCGGAGGGGGCTGGACGAGGCGTACCCCGAGGGCCCCGCTCCTTCCCGGCAGCGGCGCGCGTGCACACACACAAAGACGCTGCCCCCTCACACCCCGCACCGCACATCACACACCCCTCGTGGCCGTTCTTCAGTCTGCGGCCAGGGCGCGCTGCACCGGGCCAACCTGCGGCCGTCGCTACGAGCGGCGGGGCTCACCGCGGGGCAGCGCGCCGACAACGTCGAATGCGCCGCCGTGGCATCGCGGCGCGGACGACCAGGCTCAGAGGATGACCCCGGGTAAGCGTTCCCGTGCCTCGACAATTGCCGCTGGTAGGCGCGCCGCGCCAAGCCATGGCGGGCGCGCCGCGGCCGCGCGCAACCTTCGTTACAATGCGTCGACCGGCAAGCACACGCCTCGACTCGGACACAGTGTTCCGAGGGCAAGGGAGAGGGGCTGGCTCCTAGCCCGAGAGGGGAGCTTCCGAGACCCACTCCAACCTCCATTAACGGCGGAGCTATTCTCGCGCCCACACCACACCTGGCTCCAACGTGGACACGCCCATAGCTGGGGACACTACTAGGTCATGACACACACAAACGTCTAGTTCAAAAGAAACTTATTCGACTTGATTGATTTAAAGTGAGAACCGTGAAACCTGTGTCACCCGAAATCCATAGTGTCACTCTTATGGTTTTTTTTGCAAATTTGCGAAGTGCGGCTTCGGTGTGCATTTTTGCGGCTTCGGTGTGATTTTTTGCGGCTTCGGTGTGATTTTTTGCGGCTTCCGTGTGCGTTTTTGCGGCTTCCGTGTGCGCCCGTCGCTTACCTGCCCGCGACGACGCTGCCCGCCTTTGCCGCGCCAGCCGCCGGCTTGCTGCAGCCGCAGCGCGCGGTGCCCGACCACCGGCGCGCCCGCCCGCTCGCCTTCTCGCGCCGCCTCTCCGCGCAAAGCCGCTCACGCCGCGCGTACTCAGCCATCGGCGCGACATCACCCCCGCAGGCACCTCGCGACGGGTCGGCGCACTCGTGTGGCTCAACGCGGACCTACGGAGCGACTCCGCCGCGCGGCTTGGCGCTGCCCATGGCAGCAACAGGTGCCGCCCCACCACCCGCCTGCTGCCTCTGCCTCTCTCAGCCATGCGACCCCCCCTCCGCCAATGCACACCTCGAACGCGACGTCAGATCCCGCTGCGACGGGCAATATTCGCGGCGATGAGGCCTCCGCCAGCACTGATCATCACAACTCGTCTGTTAAGCTACACGTTTTTGCCCTGTGCAGGTGAGCGGACCGCTGCAGCCACGGTGGAGCCACGGGTCGGGCGAGGGAATGGCCTTTTGGCGCGGCGCTGCTCTGTGCCTGCGCGCTCATGGCGCGTTCAGGGGTGCGCGGTGTGTAGACTGCGGGGCGCCGCGATAGCGCGGCGCCGACGATTGTGTCGCTCATTGTCACACCAACAACCCGGTCACAGTGTGTGTGTGCAGTCTGCAGTGCGTCCACTCCGGCGACCGTGACGCCGTCGGCGCTCGTCAAAAGCATCTACTGTGGAGCTCTAAGTGTGGTTGCGTGTTGTACTAGTGGTGCTGCACTAGGCGGCCCGTTTTTAGCAAAAAGCAGATACCACATCGCGCGTGGTCATCGAAAAACCGCATGTTCGCCGGGTCCGTCTGTCCACTGTCGGTCTGTGGGACCTCTTCGTACGGCTCCGAAAACCGCTCCTTAACGACGACTGCGCGGCCCGGCGGTCGATCTGCGCCTTCTCAGCGGTGGAGGGGATGTGGGCGGTACGTGCGGACCGCATGGTACTGCGATGGTTTGACGAGTGCGACTCCCAGCGTCGACTTTTTCGACCCCACGGAGCCCGCTCTGCTGCTCGGGGGGGGGGTCTGCAGACCACCCGGCCGAACTTCAGAGTGGCGGTGCTCCTCAAATACCGCTCAAACGCCCACGATGTTGTGGAGGGGACATATGCTGATGATCCTGGCCCGATTGGTTCGCTCAGAAAGCTTCTGGGCGGCCGTTAAGGTTCGCTCCCCGCACACCGGCCCCGGAGTTTGGGTACCCTAGAAGAAGGCGGACGCCGACGAGGCGGGGGAGGAGGAGGAGGAGGAGAGCCAGGCCGAAATCGGCAAGGACTGGACCGAGTACGTGGACGGCAATGGGCGCCCCTACTATTACAACTCGGTCGACAAGCAGACGAGACGTGGACGCGGCCGCCGCCACCGCCGCCGCCTCCGCCGCCGCCTCCGCCGCCGCCTCCGCCGCCGCCACCACCACCCGGGCCGCCACCGCCGAGGGATGCGCCGCAGGGGCAGCGCCGCAAGAGGGCCAGGCCGGCACCGGCGGCGCCGCTCTATCGCACTCGCGATGCAGAGACGGCCCCCTCCGTGTTTGCACAGCCGGGCGGGAGCATGTTCTCCCCAACCTTTGCGCAGGGCATGATGCTGGCCGAGCTCAACGCTTCGCGCGCACGCGAGCAGAGTGAGCGGGAGAGTCAGGCCAGGTTCTTGGGCTTCATGGGCGTCCCCAAGTGATTAGCTCATAGCACTGCTGGCATGACACGCATAGTGGGTGGGTGCGAGCCAGGTGCGAGCGGCATGGTGGGCTCCGGAATGGGTACCGTTCGGGTGCGGACGGAAGAGAGAGTGCATGTACGAGAGCTAGCATGCGCATGCTCCGCAGGGGCAGGTGAGTACTGGTCAAAACAACCATTTGCACACTTGTTTGCAACAAAATGCGCTGCAAATGCGACATTTTATGGATCTGGAGTGACACTCTGGATTTCGGGTGACACAGGTTGTGAAAACAGCGGCCCACACACAGCCATCTGGGATCTCGGGCCTTCAGACTCGATGTTGGCCGCTCTCGCCGTCGCCGCCCTGGCGGCGCCCACACCCTCCGACTTGCGCGAGGCAGCGCCGACGATCATCACTCCGAATGGGCGCGAGCCTATCTATGCCCCGGCTCTCGCGCCATGTGACGTCCCGACGTGCAAGCAAGCGAAAGGCTTTGGCCTCTGCGACACCACCAACTCGGCCTGCGACACGGCGTGCGTGGACCAAGTGAAGATGACCTGCCCTGTGACGTGCAGCCTCGATGCGGAGGAGACTTGGGGGGGCCCGGAACCGGACGCCATCCCCTCCGACTACCACAAACACTTGCCGCTGCAGATGGCCGCCACAGCGGCCATCTGCAGCACCTGCGCGCATGACCCCGACCTTCCCTGCTGCCACGACCATCCGCAAGAGGCCAACGACCGCCGCCGCCTGCAGACGGACACGTGCGTCACCAAAATCAAGAAGAATCCTTGCTCCACCGCTGCTTGCCACGTTGGCTGGTTTTTCAGTGAGACGCTCGGCCTTGGCTGAAGGAATCGAGCAATCGACGTCCAAGGTCGAGAGAAAGAGACGCGTGACCACACTGTGCCACGTCTGGACCGGGGGTGAGTAAGTGTGATCCGGCGCCGAGCGTTGCCTTCCTTCGGGAGGGAGTGGTCCGGGTCGTGCTCGAGAGTGCATGCGGATGGGGCGTGCGTGCTGCTTGCGTGTATGCTGCGTGTTGCCTCCGGGGCTTGGTGGCGTGCGGGGGGCGCTTTTTCGTGCTGAGAGAGCTTGCAAAATATGATGTAACTTATTCCGGGGCCGGTGTGCGGGGAGCGAACCTTAGCGACCGCCCAGAAGCTTTCTGAGCGACCCAATCGGGCCAGGATCATCAGCATATGTCCCCTCCACAACATCGTGGGCGTTTGAGCGGTGTTTGAGGAGCACCGCCACTCTGAAGTTCGGCCGGGTGGTCTGCAGACCCCCCCCCCCCCCCCCCGGAGCAGCAGAGGCTCCGTGGGGTCGAAAAGTCGACGCTGGGAGTCGCACTCGTCAAACCGTCGCAGCACCACGCGGTCCGCACGTACCGCCCACATCCCCTCCACCGCTGAGAAGGCGCAGATCGACCGCAGGGCCGCGTAGTCGTCGTTAAGGAGCGGTTTTTGGAGCCGTCATATTTCACGCATTCGAGCGTCTGCCGTCTCTCTCTCGCACGACGGTCGACCTCATCGCGGCGACCGACGGCTTTGCCGAGGCGCGCAAGGTGGGCGAGGGCGGCTTTGGGCGTGTCTACCGTTGCGACGCGCTGCCGTCGCTTCCGCGCGTCGCTTGCGGGTTCGCCGTCAAGACGGCGCTGGTCGGTGTCGGCGCCCAAGGCCTCGCCGAGCTGCAGAGCGAGGTGCGCACGCTCAGCGCGGCGTGCCACCGCTCCTTGCTCCCTCTCCTCGGCGTCTGCTTGGCGCCGGCGAGAGCGTGCCTCGTCTACCCCCTCTGCCGCGGCGGCAGCCTCGAGGACCGCCTCTACCGCGCTCCAGCCGCGCTGCAGCGGCTCCGCATGCTCGGCTTCGAGACGCCGCCTCCGCCGCTCTCCGCCGCCGCACGGCTCCGCGTGCTGCGCGACGCCGCGAGAGCGTTGCACTACTTGCACAAGCTCTCGCCCATGATCCTGCACCGCGACGTCTCGGCGGGCAACATCCTGCTCGACGAGTGCGGCAACGGCTACCTCGCCGACGTGGGCCTCGCGCGCGCGGCAGAGGCGACGGCCGGCGGCAGCCAGCAGGTCTCGCACCTGTCGACGCAACGCATCTTTGGCAAGCCTGGCTACATGGACTCGATCATAACGCACGACGGTCAGGCTTCGCAGCTCACCGATGGCTTTGCGCTCGGCATCACGCTGCTCGTCGCCCTGACTGGCCGTGGCGCTCTCGGCTTGCTCAACGCGTGCGACGATGCGCTGGAGGAGCCCGACACGGCGGAGAGCATCGCGGCGGCCGACGCGGGCTGGTCGGCGGCGCAGGCCGAGGAGCTGACGCGGCTGGTGGTCGGGCTGGCGTACGAGCGGAAGAAGAAGCGGATGCCGCTCGCAGACGTGCTGCCGCGGCTCACAGTGTAGCTTTCGGGGGTGGGATTTTCCGGTTACACCCTCCGCCCGACTTCATCGGGGCGGGGGCCCCCACCCCCCCGGGGGGGCTTTTGGGGCCCCTCCAGGGGGCGACCCCTCCGGGGAGGCCGGCCTTCCCCGTGCCGGTTCTCCCCAACCAACCCCGCCGACAGCGCGAGCTGCCGGCCATATTGAGCGGTTCGTCCGCGCGTCGCGCACTCGTCCCAACCGGGGGCCGCAGACTCGTTCTCTGCGCGCCAACGGCTGGTGACGCTGTGTTGCCCTTGAGCTAGTCCTTCCCCGGTCGCCTAGCCTCTGCGCTGTCTGGCGAACGCCTGTATGCCATGCGCGCGGACCACGCTTGCGTGGATACGTGGCTGGCAGGCTGACCCGTGTGCGGGGTAACCCGCGCACGGGGAAGCTTCACGGGTTCGAGTCGTCAAACATTAAGCAGCGGGGGTGTGCCGAGGGGGACCGGGAGGCGGTAAGTCAGTCGTCGTCGCCCGGCGCTGCTTGCAGCACCGTGGCGATGGCGCTAAGAGGTTCCTCTTTTCCGCGCCCCCCCCCGGCAAGGCGCGCGATACACACACGAGCGAAACCTTTTCCTTCGAAGCTCAGCGACGTAGCCGGGCGAGCAGAATAGGGCAGCCCTAGAGAGCACCTGGAGGCCGTTCAATAGAGCCCGTGTTATAGTCGAGAGTCGATCGCCGGCCGGCGCAGTGCTGCTCTGACAGCTCCGCCGGGCCGCCTCCGGGCCGCCGCCGCGGAGACGTGCACATAGGCAAGTTGGTATTTTCACATATGAACTTCAAAATAACATTGGCTAATCTAATCCTACTCATCACAACTCACCAGGAACACCACCACACTATAGGGTCATTGTATGTAGCCTTGCTTAGAAGGTTAGGTTTTGTGCAAGGTGTGCGTGAAGCGGTATGGCTCACCGTGGCGGTGTACCGTGTACGGTCTGTAGTCGGCCCCGGCAACACGGCGGGAGTCTATGACCCTCCGCCCCGTGGTTGGATGCTTTACGCCGCGCATTCCCGGCGACCCTTTACGGCTTTACGGCACACGCCACACCCGTGATGCTCGCGGGTCGCGCGGCTGTCGCGTTGGGCTTTTCTAGATCTCGCCTGCGCTGAGCGTGCGGGTGCCGCTCGGCGATTCATGAAGTGTAAAAACACTAAGCAGAGCCGCCGCGCCCCGCGCCCCGCCCGTCCCGCCCACCCCGCCCGCCACGTCCACGCCCCCCTCTCCCCCCTCGCCCACCGACCGCCGCCGTGGCGCCCACGGGCTGAGCCAGGGGCGCGCGGCGCGGGGCGCGAGGGCGACTGGTGGACAAACGTCGTTTGCGCCGCCACCAACCTCCCAGTTGCGGCGATGGGCAGCGCCGGCTGGCGGCAGGCCGGGCAGTTGCTGAGAGGCAGGCTGCTCACCCACGTGCACCGGGCCAGTGCTTGCACTTTGAATGCCGTGGGCGGTGGGGCTCCTCTACCCGTGTGTCCGGGTGTGGAGATGCGAGGGTCGCCCCCCCCTTGCCCCACCACTTTGTGTGTGTGGAGAAATTTACCTTACCTTACCTTACCTTAGGGTCGTGACGGCATGGAGATGACGATTGACGCCTCCGATCTATCCCGGCCAGCCTAGAGCTCGCCTCACGCCTGACGCCTCTTGGTCTTGCGCGCCGCTGTGCTGCACCCTTTTTTCATCTCCGCTCCAAGGCAAGACACAATCTCACGCAAATACCAAAATACTGTGTGTGAATACGAGACGAGAATGAGGTGTACATGCATGCGTGCGAAGGAGTGTTCTTGACGATGAGGCTGCTCACAAAACTGCCTCTCTCTGTGGCAAAGAAGGCTGGTGGCGCACTGGTGCTCCGGGGTCAGTATTGCACGCTCAGCAGCCATGGCGCAAAACCGTGGCAGCGCGGTCTCCGGCTTCTTCGCCCCGGCCCTCACGGCGCCTCCTTGCTGCCGCTCGAGGCGGGGGCCGAGTGCCTCCCGCGCGTGCCGGAGCTGGCGAGGCCGTTGCCCGAGTTGGCGATGTTCTTGAGCTGCATCCGCGCAATCTGCCGCAGGTTGACCGTCTGGAAGTCGTCGAGCGAGCCGAGCGAGCGGTTGCCCGGCGACTGGTCGGGCCCGGACGCCGCCGCGTCGACGTCCTCGAGGAGGAGCGACATCTCGCGCTGGTCGGCCGCGGTGGTGCCTCCATCAGTGGCCTGGCTGGCCGTCGGCGTGTAGGGGGAGTACTGCTGCCAGAGCGGCGTGGAGTGGTCGAGCTGCGCGAAGAAGGGGTGGCTGAAGATGTCGGCGCAGCCCTGCTCATGCCCGAGCCGCTTGTCCGGGTCGAGGACGATCAGCTGCGAGAGCAAGTCCACCGCCTGCCACTAATTAACTAGGAATCAGACATGAATTAGATGCGCTGCGAGAGCAAGCCCGCCGCCTCGGGCGACACGTCGGAGGGGGAGAGCCGCTCGTACTCGCCGACGAGCACCTTTTGCGAGATGTGGGGGAGATATGAGGGAGATGTGTGGGAGATATGGGGAGATATGATCTCGGAGGGGGGAGAGCCGCTCGTACTCGCCGGCGAGCACCTTTGCGTAGATCTTTGTGGCGGTCGAGTCGCCGAAGGGCGTCTCACCCGCGAGGAGGTGATAGGCGACCTAATTAAGTAACTTAATTACGATGAACCGATTATAATTAATTCGCGTCTCACCCGCGAGGAGGTGATAGGCGACCACGCCGAGCGCCCAAAAGTCGACCCGCTGGTCGTGCCACTGGCGGCGCAGGATCTCTGGCGCGAGGTAGTCGGCGGTGCCAACCTCGAGCGAGTTGTGCTTGTTGGACGGCAAGCTGCTGCCGCCGGCGCCTTGGGACTCCTTGCCGGCCGCCGTGGGAGAGGCGGGCGGGTCGTCGACAGCGGAGAGCCCGAAGTCGGTCAGCTTGATGTGGCCGTCGCGCGTGATGAGCATGTTTTGCGGCTTGAGGTCGCGGTGGATGATGCCTGACGAGATGTGAGGGGGGTGTGGGGGAGATGTGGGGGAGATGTCATCTCGGGCTTGAGGTCGCGGTGGATGATGCCTGACGAGATGTGAGGGAGGTGTGGGGGAGATGTCATCTCGGGCTTGAGGTCGCGGTGGATGATGCCTGACGAGATGTGAGGGAGGTGTGGGGGAGATGTCATCTCGGGCTTGAGGTCACGGTGGATGATGCCTGACGAGATGTGAGGGAGGTGTGGGGGAGATGTCATCTCGGGCTTGAGGTCGCGGTGGATGATGCCTGACGAGATGTGAGGGGGGTGTGGGGGAGATGTCATCTCGGGCTTGAGGTCGCGGTGGATGATGCCTGACGAGATGTGAGGGAGGTGTGGGGGAGATGTCATCTCGGGCTTGAGGTCGCGGTGGATGATGCCTGACGAGATGTGAGGGGGGTGTGGGGGAGATGTCATCTCGGGCTTGAGGTCGCGGTGGATGATGCCTGACGAGATGTGAGGGAGGTGTGGGGGAGATGTCATCTCGGGCTTGAGGTCGCGGTGGATGATGCCTGACGAGATGTGAGGGAGGTGTGGGGGAGATGTCATCTCGGGCTTGAGGTCGCGGTGGATGATGCCTGACGAGCTGTGAGGGGGGTGTGGGGGAGATATGGGGGAGATCTGGCCTGACGAGTGCAGGTACTGCAGGCCGCACACGGCCTCTCCGAGGAAGAAGCGCGCGATCGCCTCCTCGAGGAAGCCCAGCGAGGAGAGCAGGGAGAAGCAGTCGCTGCACGGCGCGTACTCCATCGCCTGGGGCGAGATACGGGGAGATGTGGGGGAGGTGTGGGGAGATACGTGAGCACGGCGCGGACTCCATCGCCATGTACAGGTGGTTGGCGGTCGAGAAGGAGAAGAAGAGCTTGATGACGTACGGGGAGTCGGCGTGCGCCAGGATGTTCTTCTCGAGGTGCACTGCGCGGTTCATCATCCGCACCTAATTCGTTCATTATTAGGCTAATCGACTAATTAATTAATTAAGCACTGCGCGGCTCATCCTCCGCACCGTGGTCTCCTTGCGCGAGAGAACCTTGATCGCCACCAGGTGATAGGTAATGAATAGTTCATTGAGAGTTCATTAGCCTGAGAGTTAACTAGAGAACCTTGATCGCCACCAGGTCGCGCGTCCGCTTGCGCTCGGCCAGCCAGACGTTGCCAAAGCCGCCGCGGCCGACCAGCTTCTGGAGGGTAAAGTCTCGGATGGACGTCCCTATCGGCATCGAGTCGGTATTAGTTCTTCATTCTCAACGGCTCCTCACCGAATTAATGACTAGTAGTTCCTTTCGGCATCGAGTCGGACAGCAGCGTCGTGTTTGTGCCGCTCTTTGCGTCGGCAGGGTCTTGCAGCGAGAGGAGGTCCCAGTACACTTCGATCTTTTGCGAGACGAGCGCGTCCGCCTGCGACACGAGATGTGGAGGAGATATGGGGGAGGTACGGGGGAGATATGATCTCACACGAGCGAGTCTCCGCCTGCGACACGAGATGTGGAGGAGATATGGGGGAGGCACGGGGGAGAGATGATCTCACACGAGCGAGTCTCCGCCTGCGACACGAGATGTGGAGGAGATATGGGGGAGGTACGGGGGAGATATGATCTCACACGAGCGAGTCTCCGCCTGCGACACGAGATGTGGAGGAGATGTGGGGGAGGCACGGGGGAGAGATGATCTCACACGAGCGACTCTCCGCCTGCGACACGAGATGTGGAGGAGATGTGGGGGAGGCACGGGGGAGAGATGATCTCACACGAGCGAGTCTCCGCCTGCGACACGAGATGTGGAGGAGATATGGGGGAGGCACGGGGGAGAGATGATCTCACACGAGCGAGTCTCCGCCTGCGACACGAGATGTGGAGGAGATATGGGGGAGGCACGGGGGAGAGATGATCTCACACGAGCGAGTCTCCGCCTGCGACACGAGATGTGGAGGAGATATGGGGGAGGCACGGGGGAGAGATGATCTCACACGAGCGAGTCTCCGCCTGCGACACGAGATGTGGAGGAGATGTGGGGGAGGCACGGGGGAGAGATGATCTCACACGAGCGAGTCTCCGCCTGCGACACGAGATGTGGAGGAGATATGGGGGAGGCACGGGGGAGAGATGATCTCACACGAGCGAGTCTCCGCCTGCGACACGAGATGTGGAGGAGATATGGGGGAGGCACGGGGGAGAGATGATCTCACACGAGCGAGTCTCCGCCTGCGACACGAGATGTGGAGGAGATATGGGGGAGGCACGGGGGAGAGATGATCTCACACGAGCGAGTCTCCGCCTGCGACACGAGATGTGGAGGAGATGTGGGGGAGGCACGGGGGAGAGATGATCTCACACGAGCGAGTCTCCGCCTGCGACACGAGATGTGGAGGAGATCTGGGGGAGGCACGGGGGAGAGATGATCTCACACGAGCTAGTCTCCGCCTGCGACACCAGAT